AAATCTACTCTTCAGATATTCTTTTTGTGTAAAATGAATTTGGTGCTTCAGTTTAAGGTGACAAGGAGGGAATAAAGATCTTGACTATTTTAATTCTGTAATGACTTTGCATCCTCCGATGACGCTGTGTCTCATATGTTGGATTATACAGTACTGAGCTCCTTTCGGATATAAAATAGAAAGGCATAGCGCCATAGCCCCTGTTTGGTTTAGCTAAGATCAAACTTTTAGTAGAATTTAATAAAAATTGAAGAAATTTGTAGTTGAAAAGTTAATAAAACTTGCGGATTCTATGAAACGTAAGATTGGAAATGAGTTTAAAGAAATGGGAGCTAAACACATGCTTGTATCTTTCTTGATTGGCAAAGTGAAATCTACTACCCCATTTAGTGGCCATTCGCGTTCATTTTGCGTACCGCATGAGATATAAGGGAGAAGAAGATGTATGAAATCCACTGGCAGATCCTTTTCGTCTCCATCGGACATTGATAAGATGTCCATGTCCGGCATTCTTCCACGTAAACAAGTATATTATAAGATGGGATGACAGTAATAGTAACTTCCAGAAAAGTTTAATCTGTAATAGTATTTAACTATTAATATGACTTTACGTTGTAGGATTATGACTTTTCAAAAAAAAAAAAAATTAGCTTTCCCTCAGCTGTATCAGGACTTTTATTTCATTATTAAGCAAGACTAATTTAAATTGGTAAAATTAACTTTTTTCCTCAATGTTCGTTACCTATTTTTTATTATGACTCACAACTTATATTTTAATTTAAAAACTCCCAAACAAGTACTAGTTATTGAGGGAGATAGGAGTTTGTAATCTGAAATTTGATTACTGAATTAAACCGTTTCTTTCCTATATGTTAACGATTTTTTATTTTATTTTATTTTTTGTTCTTCTCTTTTATTCATACGAACAAACAGGGAACCAGAGGTGGGAAAGAATTTCACTTTGAGCAGAGTTCTTCGCACGTTAGAATTCTGAGAGAGAGAAGCATTGGAAAACAAAATAAAAGTTACATGTATCTAACAATTTGTTCTCAAGCGATTGCGTTTCAGAAAAAAGTAAAAAGTCGAGCAATTCATCGAATATGGCATCAGGTACAGCATTTCATGTTGTCTTGTTTGTGTTTAGAAATTGTTATGCTGATATTATTTTCTTCATTTGAGGTACTTTTCTTGATATAGACTATGACCCTGTATCTGATTTCTACATATAGATTATATGATTAGACTCCACACATTCTAACAGTTAACATGAATATTTTGTTCTTCTATTAATCAGGTTCTGGTTCCGAAGAAAATCAAGCTACCAATGAAGAGTTCAAACACTTTGATATTGTGCAAGAGGCATCAGATCATCACTACAGAAATTCTGAACAGTCGAAAAGTTTTTCCAAAGTCAACAGTTTTGCTCATCGGAAAATCATGAGAGAGTGGAGAAGCCTCGAGAAAGATCTTCCGGAATCCATTTATGTCCAGGTTTACGAGACTAGAATTGATCTGCTTCGTGCTGTGATTATTGGCGCTGAAGGAACGCCTTACCACAACGGTCTCTTCTTCTTCGACATTTGCCTACCGTCTGACTATCCATTTCGACCTCCAAAAGTGTACTATCATTCACACGGCCTTAATTTGAATCCAAATCTTTATGCTGATGGAACAGTTTGCTTGAGCCTCCTCAACACCTGGTATGGGGCCAAAACGGAGAAGTGGACTCAGAATTCTACTATTCTTCAGGTTCTGGTATCCATTCAAGCGCTCGTGCTTAACGACAGACCCTATTTCAACGAGCCCAGCCGTGAACGTGGCAAAAATCGCAATTGTCCAAAATGGATAAAAAATGTCGTGACCTATAACGAGAAGGTATTCATTTTGTCTTGCAAGACAATGCTCTACACAATGCAGAACCCACCAAAGAATTTTGAGATTTTCGTCATTGAGCACTTTTGCAAGCGCGCAGATTCCATACTGGCGAACGTTATGGCTTATCAAGATTTTTTCTTGGTGGTTGGTGCATCTGAGATTAAAGCTTCGATAACATTTAAGTGGAATTTGAGAAGGATGCATTCGAAGCTCAAAAGGGTCTTTGACACAATTTCAAAGCCAAACATCAATAACTCAGAGAAAATAGAAAATGTTAAAAAGGAGATGAAGCCACATATGTTCAAAATTGACTTTATAGTTCCTGCATTTTTGGTTCTCTTAGCATGTGCCTTGCCGTTTTGGGTTATGTTCATGCTTTCTTAGTTCCCATATATGTCACTAGCATGTCAAAGAATTTTATGTACCAAAACGGTAAAATTTCACTGGCCAAGAAACTATAGATATTTATAGTAACGTTACTTTTTTTTCCTGCTTTATTGGGTTGTATTCTAATTCGACTGGCTTATTTTTCACACGACAACTTCGTAACCTGGAATAAAAAAGGAAGATGATACTTGTAGATCTTCAATCGGAATGTTTCTAGTATATTGTTTTAGAACATTTAGAAGCTTTAAATATCTCGTTCTATGTCGTCGTACGTACGGAACCATTCAAGCGTTTGCTAGCGAGTCAAGCCTCTAGTACAAAGCATCTGCATTGTACAAGAGACGAAACCAAAAAATCTACATTTTATGGTGCAAGAATAAAATTTGTATCCATCAGGCATGTCACTTCTTCGATTGAAATTTAATTCTCGCTCTATTGGCGGATCTTCTTCTCCCCACGGGATATTGAGAAGATGACTTTTTTTCACTTCAACAAGTATTTAGAAGGGAAGATCCTGTTTGGGAATAATTTGTAAATGGTTTAACTTATAAATAATACTACTGATTCATATGTGAGTTTACTGAAATATACAGTGGGTTCTCTTGCTCAACTTGAACATCACTTGACGGGTCTCCATGTTAAGAGGAGGCTTATCGGGCTCAGCATGCTTGAGCTGACTGGCTTGCACTTGGCTTGGGGACAGAAATACTAGACGCTTCCATTACATACCAGAGCCACAGGATGGAAAGCAAAAAATTGAAATTCTTGGACTATTGGATGAGAATGGCCATTGGTGCGAGGAGGAAGGTGAAATTGAGAGGATCGTGCGCTCATTTTTCCTGTAAATACAGTTAACTTCATGCACATCTGAAATGCAAATTGCATAGGATCTTGACTTGTGGGCATGAACTCTTGCTGATCCGTTCACTAGGTCTGAAATTTTTGAAGCGCTTTCAAGTAGGGGACCGGATGGATTTCACACGGCGTCCTGGGTGTACTTAAATGAGGGATGACATCTAAACTCGGTTAATGAGACTTTTGTAGTGCTTATTCTGAAGGTTAAGTCTCCATGGAATAGCTCAGAGTTTTGATCTATAAAATTGTCACAAAGGTTTTGGCAAACCGAATGAAAATTGTTATGCCTCATCTAATCAAAGCGCGCTTATCCCTGGCTGGCTAATTACCTCATTTGAACTACTTCACTCAATGAAAGAAAAGAACATGGGGGAATTAGGAGTATAGGCTATTAACAGGAATATTGCTTAGAAAGATAATGAAGAAATGGAAGGAAGCCAGGCAGTTTGCACACATAAGGAATCTCAGTCATTTACAAGGTGGGGGCCCGAAAATCAAGCTGCTGATTCATTGTCCCGTGTGGTCGAATTTCAATTCCTATCCATTTCCATGCCACGTGCGGATTGGTGGTCAATATTACAAAGTGAGGTGTCACAGGATCCCTTCTATACAAAACTAAGCCAAACACAGTCAGTCCACCAATTGGTTCAACTAGATGGAGTGTGGTTTAAAAATGACAAGGTTTACTTGAGCCCAACTTCAAACTTGATTCAGAAAATAATTTTCGATTGCCGCTCAACGCCTACGGGAGGACACTTTGGGTTCCATAAGACTCTCTCCCGAATTAAACTCAGCTTCTTGTGGCCTAATATGTGCAGGACAGTCAAGGAATTTCTACAGCAATGCACTATTTGTCAACAGTACAAAACAGATTGTATGAAGCCGACTGGGCTATTACAACCCTTACCAATTCCGACTCAAATATGGACTGATGTCTCAATGGATTTTATTGAAGGATTGCCGCCATCAAATGGACATACTGTCATCATGGTAGTCGTTGATCGCTTAACAAAGTATGCCCACTTTGTAGCCTTGAAACATCCATTTACCGCAGTCATTGTTGCCAAAGCATTTGTAACCAATATAGATCGTCTCCATGGCATTCACACATCCATTGTCAGTGATCGAGATAAGGTGCTTATCAGCTCCTTTTGGCAAGCATTATTCCAATTACAAGGAACCAAGCTTTGCATGAGCTCAAGCTACCATCCTCAATCTGATGGCCAAACGGAGGTAGTAAAATGTACCATCGTTTCCTTACTCCAAGGGTTTGAACAACGTGTTTAATAGCATGAACCTCAACATCTTGGATTCTATGGCCAACGACAAAAGAATTAACAAGATAATAACTATCGTTTTGCTGGTCAGCAAGGGACTAACAATCGTTCCTCTAGTCATGTTTTTACCTCTCAAGGCTGGGGGTTCCAACCTAAAAACACAGATGTCGAAATGAAAAATGGAGGTCTGGACCTATCCACATTGAAGTAACTCATTTTCGTCGAATGACTCCAGCATAGCTTGAAAAATATCGCTATGAAAAATGTCAGATTTGTGACAAACTTGGACATATTGTATCCATCTGTCGGTTCAAAGATAAACAATTTAGTGTCTCAGAAATTTCATGCTCTTGCTGCTCTCACACTTGATACATCTGAACAAGACACTGAATGGACCACTGATATGGATGCTTCGAATCACATGACAGGTAACTCCAAACTTTTGTTCAATTTACGCTCATACCTGGGAACTGATTCAGTTCTCACTGGTAATGGACACACCCTTTCCGTTAAAGCCGCTGGGGACGCACCAGTAAAAAATGGTAAAGAAAAACTAATGTTGCGGGTTATTCTGTTAGTTCCTTCTTTGGCTCATAATTTACTTTTAGTTAATCGACTTACTGATCATTTTCGAATTCTCTAATGCAAATTTAAATGTTAAGGAGCGAGAAACAGGACGAATACTAATGACGGGTCATCGCAAGGATGATCTGTACGTTTTGTCACCTCATCATGAAGCTCACATCTCAAATAGGTTCACTAATACCTCAGTGTGGCATCAAAATAAAATATTTGAGCATTGGGACTTTCCTACGGTATCAACTTTCTAAATTCTAAGGGTTTAATTAAAATCACTATTACAAATAAAAGGACTACTCTTTGTGAGAGTTGTCAATAAGGAAAATTAAGCAAATTGCCATTTTCTCATTCTGAACATGTTAGTTCCGAGTTGTTTGAAAAAATACATTGCGATTTATGGGGTCGTGCACCCGTTTCATCTATTGGAAATTTTCAATATTATGCTTGAGTTGTTGACCTAATTGAATATTATGCCTATCATCCACGTTGCCCTTAAGAAAAGGGGAAAAAAATAAATTCCTTGATTGACAAAAAGGAGAAAATAATAGAAATTTAATATTAATAAGGTAATTTTTATATTTTTATATTGTACTAGCCTACTAGGATTAGGATTTTTGACTTTCCCCATCAGATTAGGATTTTAGTTATGAATCTATGATACTTTTAAGGTCTCCCACTTGCATTGAAACTCACCTTCGTTGTATAAATTAGCTACTAAGGAATTATCTTGGAGTTTCTCAATTGTTCTCCAATTCTCATTAAGAAATTCTTAAGAATTATCAGAAATTTAGAAGGGTAGTCTTCAACAATCTGATATGGCATCAGGTACAAAAATAATTGTTCTCTTGATTTTGTGTTTTCGTGTGTATATACAAATTTTTATGGATTTTGGGTCTTTTTTGGTTCGATATAACTGAATGATATTAGAGAGCAAACCATAAGACTTTGCTTTTATATTCTAATTACGCTGTCTTGTGTTGTTGTAGAAGAAGAAACAATGTCGACATATTCGGGTTTTGTTGCATACTAACTCTTATAAGGGATCGATCCATAATTTCAGTTACGGTAAAAAAGAAATTAGAAAACGTACACGTATATAGAGGTTCACCCTAAATGTCAAAGTTATGTTTTTCGTACGAAGAAAATTACAATATAGTGATCTATAACTGTCCATCTCTTGGACGGCTCGAAAAAAATCTTATATATGCGTACAACATGATTAGACTCCGCAAAATTGAGCAATTGTATCTAAAAAATATATGGCCTTATTCATCAGGTTCAGGACAAAAACAAGCTACCGATGTCAAGTTCAAACACTTCAATATTGTGCCAGAGGCATCAGATCATTATTATCGGAATTTGAATCCGTCGAATACATTTAGCAATGCAAATAGTTCCGTTCACCGAGCCATCATGAGAGAATGGAGAAGCCTCGAGAAAAATCTCCCAGAATTGATCTATGTCCAAGTTTACGAGACTAGGATCGATCTTCTTCGTGCAGTTATTATCGGTGCCGAAGGAACGCCTTATCACAATGGTCTCTTCTTCTTCGACTTTTGTCTACCTTATGATTATCCACGACAACCTCCGAAAGTATACTATCGTTCACACGGACTCTATTTGAATCCAAATCTTTATGCCGACGGAAAAGTTTGCTTGAGTCTAATCAACACTTGGCCCGGGGAGAAATGGACACAGAATTCGACTATTCTTCAGGTTTTGGTCTCTATTCAAGGGCTCGTACTGAACGAGAGACCCTTTTTCAACGAGCCTATCGTTGCAGGTGCCAAAAAAAGCAAGAGTTCGATATGGATCAAGCAATCCGTGGCTTATAGCAAGTATGTATTCATTTTGTCTTGCAAGACAATGCTCTACCAAATGCGTAATCCGCCAAAGAATTTTGAGAATTTTGTCGCTCAACATTTCAGCGATCGTGCAGATTCTATATTGGCAGCCGTCAAGGATTACCAAGAAAATAATCTGCTGGTTGGTTCATGTTCGATTAAACCTTCGTCCTCGTTTAAGTCCAAATTGAGAAAGATCCAGACAGAGCTGGAAAAGGCATTTGATAGAGTACCAGAGCCGAACGTCAACAAGTCGGAAAAATTAGAGGACATAAAAAAGCCGAAATATGGGCTCGTGAACAAGTTTATGATGTGTATCTGGAACAAAGATTAATCAACTGAGAGAAAATAGTTATGTAACGTAACATGCTTGTTTTTCGTATTTATCGTGTCTATCTAGATTATTATTAATGTTCAATTTATTTCTTAATTATCTTTGTCGTGACTAATGATATTTTTAAGAGTGGAATGCACCTTGAACGCTTTAGATAGTCAACGTGCCTATAAATTTAAATTTAAATGTATTAAGATTTTAATAAGCCTAGATTAAATTATAAAATATATTTATTTATTATGTGCCTTTTAAATTATGTGTAATTATTTTATTATGAGTTTTTAACTTTGCACATAATAACTTCTCTCGAGCAAATGACAATAAAAAAGTCTGGACGTTTTCTATTGCAGATATTTTAGTCGTTCATGTGGCGGCGTCTGCGAAATGAAAGGCAGAGAAATGAATAGTGAAGAGAGGATTCCCTCTTTTTATTATGTGCAATGATATTGCTCCAGATGAATAAAATAATCCTAGTCAGCCTAATGCTCGAGCAGGCCAAAAATTTCCCTCTCCCCTTGTAACACTCGGGATGAACCTTGCACTTCTGTTCTTTGGGGGTCCATTCCTGAACTTGAATCTTTGGTGATTCTAATACCACGTTAAATCGTCGTGTAAAAGTGATGATAAACCTAAAAGTAGCTTTGATAATTTTATTTATGTTGGGGGATCCTAGGAGTTCAATCAACCAAAACATCAAACAATAGAAGAAATTCTAAAGCAAAACAATGGAAAAAGGGATGGAAAAATACAACCTGTCTTTGGCCGAATCTGGACAGATTTTGCTTCTTCCTTGTAGCAGCTTCTTCTCCTCCTTATGGTTGATTTTTCAGGCTCAGGAACAGCCCTCCATGACTTGCAAATCACCTTCCAAGAGAGAGGGGAAAAATCCAGCAAAGAACCACCACCTTCAAACTAAAAACCGAGTGTCCCAGTGCAAGGAGGAGTTGGCTTATAAAGAAAAGAAGAAGGAAAAAAACCCATGCCTCTGCCAAAAAACGTGGGAAGCCCTTATTGTGTCAACATCAATACCATCAAGTCACAACATCTCCCCCAAGATTAAATCTCGGCCGTCGATTTTCATCCAATGGTCCACAAAAAATTGAATAGATGGTGTTAAGAGAACCATATTATCACATTCTTCACCTTGGTTCTCATAACACTCTCTCTTGGTTGCGAATTTGCACATGGAAGAACTGTTCATCATCATCGCCCACAACCTGCAAGAAAAAATTAACCAGTGTCAATATGTAATAAAGATAAGCACAATTTAAATTTACCTGCAGGTAGAATTTTTGTTCCCATATCAGAGGGATTCCTATCATTGTGAATTTTAATAAGATTAACTTCACCTTGAGACAGTTTCTCATGAATAAAATGATACTTTACCTCAATATGTTTAGTTCTTTCATGGTAAACAGGATTTTTACAAAGCAATAAATCACTTTGACTATTAGTAAACATAACAGGTGTATCATGCATGAAGTTCAATTCCTTTAAAATTCCTTTTAACCAAGTACATTCTTTAACCGCCTCAATTATGGCAACATACTCTGCCTCAGTACTTGACAAAAGGCTGCAGCTGTGACTTCCATGTTATACAATTGTCACCTAGTGTAAAAAAGTACACTGTGGTAGACTTTCTCTATCCTTGTCATCAGCAAAATCAGAGTCTACATACTCCTTTAGAGCAAGTTTTTCAGATCTCTTTTCATACACTAGACCCAGTTCTAATCTACCAACAATGTACCTTAACAACCATTTTAAACCTGCCCAATGGGGTTTTCCTGGGTTTGACATAAATCTGCTCAAAAAACTTATAGCATATGCTAAGTCAGGCCTGGTTGTTATCATAGAGAACATAACGGAACCTATAGCATTAGCATAGGTTCACAGATTTTGATCCATTCATACCAAATTTAGTTATGACTTTGTTTAGATAGGATTCTTGGGAAATGACTAGTCTATTTTCAGCCCTATCTCTCTTTATAACCATCCCTAAATCTTCTTAGCACTCCCCAAATCTTTCATATCAAATTCTGATTTTAAAAGGTTCTTCATCTTAGTGATTTCAGTCTTACTTGAACTTGCTAGAAGCATGTCATCTACATACAGCAACAAGTAGACCTCACAGCCCTCCTTACTATCATTATAGTACAGGCATGCATCATATTCACTCCTTTTAAAACCTATCTTCAGTACATAGGTATCGAACCTTATGTACCACTGTCTAGGACTTTGTTTAAGTCCATACAGAGATTTTTCTAATTTGCACACATAGTTTGTTGTTTTACCTTTCACCTCAAAACCTTGAGGCTGGCTCATGTAAATATCCTCTTCCAATTTCCCATGTAGGAAAGCAGTCTTGACATCTAGTTGTTCCAGTTCCCAGTTGTACTGAACAACCAATGCAAGAACCAGTCTGATTGTT